GATCAATCAGAAATCCCGTTTATCGAGATTTATACTTGCCACTAAACTTTTGTAATAGGTAAAAACACAATCTAATGATTGGCCACAATCAAATCATCGATCATTACTATTCCTTGATGAAAGTCAAGTGCATGGCGCATCAGAAGTGGGATCAATCACGTTCAGTAGTTGTTGTTTTCGAACTTTATGCTCATTAGTCTAGGTCTGCTGGAACGAGGTGCCTTATGCTCAAGTGTGTTGTATCGATATCGATAATCGCTGTGCGCTATCTACCTCTTATCTATTGACATATCCGGAAAATGTTTTGGAGCCATGGGCCAGAATGTTTTCGTCGTTCTCACTAACACACTCACCCTGCAAGAGTGCTCTATTGAGAGTGAGTGATTTTCGTAGGAGAAAAATTTTTCGTATTTTATTTTACATGTTTAGGTTTCGCGAACAACATTAAGCTCAACTGCGAATGTTCAGGATATTGTCGAGGAGTTCCTTTTGCGACTAGTGAACGCTACGCGCTCTATCATTCCTTCAGGTATTGTCAAACGTGTGAAGGATCAGTGAGAAAGAGAGGTAGAGATAGAGAGTGGCAGAGTTTGAGAAGGAAAAAGTTGTGGAACAAGGTGGAACAACAGCGAGAGTGTGGCGAAAAGCTTGAAACGCAGAAGAAAATCTGACACCCAGGTTGGATCCAACAACAGTGTAGAGGTGGAGAGGAGGGAAAGAGAGCCGATGATATAAAGTGAAGAGAAAAACGAGATGGGAAGCGAAAGATAGGCTAACGAGTTCACATATGACCCGATGCAGACGGATGGTTCACCGTCGATTTTAGATTTGATTATCAGTGAAAATTATGCAGTGCTGCTGAAGGGTCATCAAGCTCAGATCATCATCACGTGTCCAGTTCAGGGGCTAGCATTGTCGTCATATTAGTGAGTCACGGCAAGGATGATGGCCATGTCTTATGGGCCGAAGCTTACCTCCAGCCGAGCAAACCAGCCCTTTTGGCGTTTCTGCTGGGGCCGTATGCTGAATGTTGGGGAGGGGATGGGGTCCCCGAGGTCGACGGACTACTTCAACTCGGTCGGTACGGTAGGAGAGTAATGACGCAAGTGGTGCAGCTGGTCCAGCAGCTCCGCCAAAAGGGCTGGTTTGCTTACCCCAGGACTAAGCCTTGGAGAGAGGACGCAAGTCCGTCCTCTCTTTAATCCGATGTCATAGTTTGCGAATCGAACGATGCGCCAGCGAACCAACTTTGCACCAGCGAATTGACCGATGCTCCAGCAAGTCGAACTAACTGTCAAGTCCCGCCACTTTCAAAAAGGTCCACTGTCACGTGACACTGTTCGAAAGTAGCGGGCTTCCTTTGAACGTTGGGTCCCGCCACTATTGAGTCGCTGGTACATAGTTCGACTCGCTGGTGCAACGTTCGATTCGCTGGCGCAACGCTCGGATCCAGCGATTCGCTAGCGAATCGCTCGATTCGCAAACTATGACATCGGCCTAAGGCTTAGTCCTGAGGTAAGCATCAAATTGAGGCGGTTCTAAGGACCGAGTTGAAGTAGTCCGTCGACCGTCGGGACCCCATCCCCTCCCCAACATTCAGCATACGGCCCCAGCAGAAACGCCAAAAGGGCTGGTTTGCTTACCCCAGGACTAAGCCTTAAAGAGATTACGGACCTACGAA